CCTGCTTCCTCCCCTCTCTCTCTGCCTGCCTCTATGCCTACTTGTGATATCTCTCTCTCTCTCTCTCTCTCTGTCAAATAAATAAAAAAAAAATCTAAAAAAAAAATCAGTATCTTATAACCCATTGTAATCATTCTTCTTTTTGATGATTAAACTGTCATTCATAGTTGGCCATTGGAAGCCCCTTTCAGCTGGCTTCTGCATCCTTTTTCATGTATGCGTGAGTCTTTAAAGACCTTCTTGTTTTCTGGCACAAAAATATGTTCCAATCTCATCTTGTATTTTTCTTTCCCCCAACTTGGAATAAGTCAACTCATTAAGAAGCCTTAGTTTCTTTTATTAGGAAATGGTGTTCATTGACCAATATCAGTGTCCAATGTATTCATTACTACTGGATTGTCATTGCTTTTATATCCATTAAGTAGAAAGACACAGAGAACATATATTTTAGGGATGCCTGGGTGGCTCAGTTGATTAAGCCGCTGCCTTCGGCTCAGATCATGATCCCAGTGTCCTGGGATTGAGTCCCGCATCGGGCTCCTGGCTCGGCAGGGAGCCTGCTTCTCTCTCCGCCTCTGCCTGCCACTCTGCCTGCTTATGTGCTCTCTCTCTCTCTCTCTCTGACAAATAAATAAATAAATAAATAAATAAATAAATAAAATCTTAAAAAAGAACATTTTATAAGAAGTCCAAAAGACAAGATTCTGTCTCACTTTTCTATATTTGTTTTGTAACTTTTTCTTGAACAGTGGAAAACCCTATTTCCCACAACATGAATATATTTATTCAAGTCTTCCTTTCTAAAACCAGAGAATAGTTTCAAAATTAGAATACTAGCACAACTACTGACTGAAAAACCTACCTGAAATTATGTTCAATAATTATTACACATTTCTTTTCCTTTTCTTTTCCTTTTTCCCTTAGAATATGTTACACCAAGGATTTCCAATCAGACTACAGTTCATAAAGTGGCTAGATTAACTCTTTTTTTGTGCATTTTCAACTTAATATACCATTTATCTTTTTTTCTTAATTTATTTTCAGCGTAACAGTATTCATTGTTTTTGCACCACACCCAGTGCTCCATGCAATCCATGCCCTCTCTAATACCCACCACCTGGTTCCCCCAACCTCCCACCCCCCGCCCCTTCAAAACCCTCAGATTGTTTTTCAGAGTCCATAGTCTCTCATAGTTCACCTCCCCTTCCAATTTCCCTCAGCTCCCTTCTCCTCTCCATCTCCCCATATCCTCCATGTTATTTGTTATGCTCCACAAGTAAGTGAAACCATATGATAATTGACTCTCTCTGCTTGACTTATTTCACTCAGCATCATCTCTGCCAGTCCCGTCCATGTTGCTACAAAAGTTGGGTATTCATCCTTTCTGATGGAGCCATAATACTCCATAGTGTATATGGACCACATCTTCCTTATCCACTTTTTTTTTTTTTTTTTTTTTTTTTTTTTTCACAGTTTGGCGACCGTGGCCATTGCTGCTATAAACATTGGGGTACAGATGGCCCTTCTTTTCACTACATCTGTATCTTTGGGGTAAATATCCAGTAGTGCAATTGCAGGGTCATAGGAAAGCTCTATTTTTAATTTCTTGAGGAATCTCCACACTATTCTCCAAAGTGGCTGCTCCAACTTGCATTCCCACCAACAGTGTAAGAGAGTTCCCCTTTCTCCACATCCCCTCTAACATATGTTTCCTGTCTTGCTAATTTTGGCCATTCTAACTGGTGTAAGGTGATATCTCAATGTGGTTTTAATTTGAATCTCCCTGATGGCTAGTGATGATGAACATTTTTTCATGTGTCTGATAGTCATTTGTATGTCTTCTTTGGAGAAGTGTCTGTTCATATCTTCTGCCCATTTTTTGATATGATTGTCTGTTTTGTGTGTGTTGAGTTTGAGGAGTTTTTTATAGATCCTGGATATCAACCTTTTGTCTGTACTGTCATTTGCAAATATCTTCTCCCATTCCATGGGTTGCCTCTTTGTTTAGTTGACTGTTTTCTTTGCTGTGCAGAAGCTTTTGATTTTGATGAAGTCCCAAAAGTTTATTTTTGCTTTTGTTTCCTTTGCCTTTGGAGACATATCTTGAAAGAAGTTGCTGTGGCTGATATCGAAGAGGTTATTGCCTATATTCTCCTCTAGGATTCTGATGGATTCCTGTCTCGCGTTGAGGTCTTTATCTTAACTGTTAAGTTTAGATTATTTTTAGTTTATAATTGGAATATATAAAGCACTTATATGCTTTAAAAGTCAATATAAAGATATACTTAGAGGGGCACCTGGGTGGCTCTGTGTTTAAAGCCTCTGCTTTCGGCTCAGGTCATGATCCCAGGGTCCTGGGATCGAGCCCCGCATCGGGCTCTCTGCTCAACAGGGAGCCTGCTTCCTCCTCTCTCTCTGCCTGCTTCTCTGCCTACTTGTGATATCTGTCTGTCAAATAAATAAATAAAATCTTTAAAAAAAAAATATATATATATATATATATATTTTTTAAAGTTAGGTTTGCAATCCTATCTGCTTCATTCATTGCCACTCTCTCTCTAGGTAACTTTTTGGAAAAAGGGGTTTTGGGGTAGTCTGATTAATCCTTTCAGCCTTTATTTTTTCAGAAATAGAGCATGTTCATATTTATATTCCCAATTCTCCTTCCCTCTCTTACATGAGATATTACACAAGTTGGGGGAAGGGTAGAGGGAGAGAGAAAATCCTAAGCAGGCTCCAATCAACTTGGAGCCTGAGGCCAGCTCCATTTCATGATCCTGAGATCATGACCTAAGCTAAAATCAAGAGTTGGACACTCAACTGTCTGACCCACCCAGGCACCCTGTCCTGGTTTTCTTTTAATAATTATGAACAGGTTGTTTTGGAAATCATTCCATACAGATACATTGGCAAAAATTTTTTAAATGTATAAAATTGACTTATCTTTCTTGGTATTATATATTATTTTTGCCATAACTAATTAATTATTAGAATTAGCAATTCTAATAATTAGTAGAGTTTCCATGCAGACAGTCATAAAATTTGTAAATATTTTCAGTTGTGTTTCTTGCTTTCTTGTGCTTGTAACAAAATGCTCCTGTCTAGTCTTATCACTGTGGCTGTACCTTTCAGGAAGTGTTCAATAGAAACAGCACTATTATGTGTTGTTCATCTTTTTTCATGGTTTTTATTGGCATAACTCTTTTTTCTTATATAATTTCTTAAAAAATTTTGGAATCATTTTATATATTCAAAAGAAGTTGTAAAAATAATATAGAGAGTTCCTATATTCCTCACCTAATACCAATTTCCCCTACATTTTTGTGGTATATTTGAATTTACCCATCCCCATTGTTTTCATCCCTTCCAATATAGTATACCTTTCATAAACTTCATGATTTTTCCTTTCTTTGTTTTGTTTAAGGTGAGCACCTATATCTTCATATATCTCTTTATATAAATGGTAGCAGCATACACTATACAATTTACTCTACCTTGTTCTTCTACATTTAAAATCATGAAGATTGGGGCACCTGGGTGGCTCAGTGGGTTAAAGACTCTGCCTTCGTCTCAAGTCATGATCTCAGGGTCCTGGGATCGAGCCCCGCATCGAGCCCCGCATCAGGCTCTCTGCTCAGGAGGGAGCCTGCTTCCCTTCCTCTCTCTCTTCCTGACTCTCTGCTGACTTGTGATCTCTGTCTGTCAAATGAAAAAATAAAATCTTTTTTAAAAAAATAGAAAAGAAAAAATCATGAAGTACATTCAATAGGAATATACAGATACTTCTCATTTCTTTATACAGTTACTTAGAACTCTACTGTGTGCATGTACTATACTGAGTTCAAGTAGTATTAAGTTGGTGGCTATTTGGATTCATTATAGTCATTTGCTCTTACAAATAGTTCTGTAGCAGATAACCTTCTGCATAAACCTCTTCAGATTCTTTCCCAAAAGTATATGTTTGGGTTCCTAGAATTGGAATTCTTGCTCAAGGAAAAATGCTTACCTAATTTTGCTAGAAAATGGCAAATAGCCCTGTATGGTAGTTGTACCATTTTTATTCACTACCCTGAATGTATGAGAGAGGTTACTTACCTAAATAGCCTCTAACAGACTAAATTATCAGACTTTTGGGTTTTTGCCAAAGTATGCTTTGAATTTATTCCAAAATTTAAGAATCATTGACTTCATCTTTTTCTGATCCCTTCCCCCCCATGACTTCCTATTTCACTTTTCAATTTATATACTTTATCTCTCAAATTGCACCACCATATAAGAACTATAAATCCTATTTGCATTATAAACATTAATGTCAATGTAATTCTGCCTTTTATAAGTTTTGTGTCTTCTCCCTCCTCCCAAAAGTGAATGTTTTTATTTGTGCTTTCTTTCAGAATATAAATCTAGGTGTGAGAACAAGAAATTATCTCTGAAAAAGAATGACTATAAAATAGATTCATCCCAATGGGTTATAATGGAAGTATATACAAAGCATGGACTTAAACAGGGATCTCAGGAAAGACATTTTAGCCAAGTCTCATGTGCCTCTGAAGACATGTCCCCTTTCATTCAGCATACATCTCTCCCTCGACATCAAACATTTAATACCAAAGAGAAATCTTATGAATACCAAAAATATAAAAATGCCTATGGACAGGACTCAAAAATTACTACACATCAAGAAGGTCATACTGGCAAGGAATTATATGACTATAAGGAATATGGGAAGGCCCTTAATAGAACTTCAAAACTTAGTTCATATCATTCAGTGCATATTGGCATGAGACCCTATGAATATGAGGAATGTGGGGATTCTTTGAATAGTGACTCAGAATTTATGCAACATCAAATAATTTTTACTGCAGAGAAATCTAATGAATTTAAGGAAAGTGGGAAAGTCTTTACTAGTGCCTCACAGTTTTTTCTACGTCATAGCATTCATACAAGTGAGAAACCCTTTAAGTGTAAGGAGTGTGTTAGAGAATTTGGTAATGGTACAGCCCTTATTCGTCATCAGAGGATTCATACTGGTGAAAAACCCTATGAGTGTAATGAATGTGGAAAGGCTTTTAGTACTAGTTCAATATTTAGAGTACATCAGAGGATTCACACAGGTGAGAAACCCAATGAATGTAAAGAATGTGGAAAAGCCTTTCGTCATTCTTCATACCTTACTCAACATCAAAGAATTCATACTGGTGAGAAACCTTATAAATGTAAGTGTTGTGTTAGGGCATTTAGTAATGTTTCAGCCTTTATTCGTCATCAGAGAATTCATACTGGTGAGAAACCGTACAAATGTAAGGAATGTGGAAGAGCCTTTAGTACTACTGGCTCAATACTTACAGCACATCAGAGAATTCACTCAGGTGAGAAACCCTACTTATGTAAGGAATGTGGGAAGGCCTTTCGTCAGTCTTCAGACCTTACTCAACATCAGAGAATTCATACTGGTGAGAAACCCTATGAGTGTAAGGAATGTGGAAGGGCCTTTCGTCGTTCATCAGAACTTTCTCGACACAAGTTAATTCATGCTGATGGGAAATTGTATGAATGTAAGGAATGTGGAAAGATCTTGAGTAGAGATTCATACTCATAAAGCAACAGAAAATTCACACTGATGAGAAAGCCTGGGAATGTAATGAATGTGGGAGAGTTTTCACTTGTGCAACATACCTGACCCGGCATCAGCAAATTCATACTGGTGATAAACCATATACTTGTAACAAATGTGGGAAAGCCTTTCTTCATTCTTCAGACCTTATTCTGCATCAAAGAATTCATACTGGTGAGAAACCCTATGAGTGTAAGGAATGTGGGAAGGCTTTTGCAAGAGGCTCAAATCTTAATTGCCACCAAAAAGTTCATAATGGTAAGAGATAGTATGAAAGAAAGCTTTGTAAGACATTTAGGCATATCTTTCAGGTAACATGAAATGAAAGAGAAACCACAGATATGTAACAGAAGAAATCCTAAGAATTTATTGGTAAGAAAATATAGAAATATAATAAATAGAGAATGCCTTTTGTGTTTCACGGTTTAACTACCATAAGAATAAAATGAATATTGGAAGGCTTCTACCAATGGCTCATTCCTTTCTAAATTTTAAAAACTTTTTATCATGACTGGAGAAAAGTGAAAAATCTTTTTGTTGCATTTTTTGTATTTTAAAATACTTTAGGGGCACCTGGGTGGCTCAGTGGGTTAAAGCCTCTGCCTTCGGCTCAGGTCATGATCCCAGAGTCCTGGGATCAAGCCCCGCATCGGGCTCTCTGCTCAGCAGGGAGCCTGCTTTCTCCTCTCTCTCCTTCTGCCTGACTCTCTGCCTACTTGTAATCTCTGTCTGTCAAATAAATAAATAAAATCTTTAAAAAAAATAAAATAAAATACTTTAAATCCACTTTATTATATAGCTATAAGTAGTTTGGTTTATGCATAGCTAAAACACTGTTTTATCATAAGTTGTACATTAAATTTTTGAATTTATTTTTTTCTCACCAAAATTCTTTTTTTTAGTATTTTATTTATTTATTTATTTATTTTTTCCGTTTCCAACATTAATTGTTTATGCACCACACCCAGTGCTCCATGCCATCCTTAATACCCACCATCAGGTTCACCCATTCTCCCACCCTGCTCCCTTCCAAAACCTTCCAAAACCATCAGAGTCCACAGTCTCTCATGGTTCATCTACCCCTCCAATTTACCCCAATTCACTTTTCCTTTCCTTCTCCTAATGTCCTCCATGTTATTCCTTATGCTCCACAAGTAAATGAAACCATATGATAATTGACTTTCTCTGCTTGACTTATTTCAGTCAGCATAATCTCTTCCAGTCCCGTCCATGTTGACACAAAAGTTGGATATTCATCCTTTTTGATGGAGGCATAATATTCCATTGTATGTATGGACCATATCTTCTTTATCCATTCATCTGTTGAAGGGCATCTTGGCTCTATCCACAGTTTGGCAATTGTGGCCATTGCTGCTATGAACATTGGGGTACAGATGGCTCTTCTTTTCACTACATCTGTGTCTTTGGAGTAAATACCAGTAGTGCAATTGCAGTGTCATAGGGTAGCTCTATTTTTAAATTTTTGAGGAATCTCCACACTGTTTTCCAAAGTGGTTGCACCAACTTGCATTCCCGCCAACAGAGTAAGAGGGTTCTACTTTCTCCACTTTCTCTCCAACACTTGTTGTTTCCTGTCCTGTTAATTTTGGCCATTCTAACTGGTGTAAGGTGACATTTCAATGTGGTTTTAATTTGAATCTCCCTGATGGCTAGTGATGATGAACATTTTTTCATGTGTCTGATAGCCATTTGTATGTCTTCTTTGGAGAAGTGTCTGTTCATGTCTTCTGCCCAATTTTTGTTATGATTATCTGGTTTTGGGGTGTGAATTTGAAGAATCTATAGATCTTGGATATCACCAAAATTCTTAACACAGCACAACTTACTCAGTAACTATTTCATGATGCTATTTGTGCACAGTTTTGTGACATTTTATATTTTTAGTGTTATAAACTTGGACTTAATGAATCTTTTTATACCCCAACATCCAATTTGGAAACTCTTCAATTGATCTTTTTATAATAAACTTTTACCTGCACATCTTTGCATCTGTACCATTTTATTTAAAATATTGTTATTTTAAGTGGTTCCAGACTGGCTCAGTCAGAGGAGCATGCAGCTCTTGATCTCAGGGTTGTGAGTTTGAGCCCCATGTTGAGTGAAGAGATTACTTAAAAATAAAATCTTTAAAAAACTAAAATATCATTACTTTAAGACATATATTTAATATTGATAAAGTGATAGAATTATTTTTGTGTATAAATTAATATTTTTATTTCATAAATATGGTATTTTATTATAATAATTTTCTCTAAATTTTTAAATTCTACAAAAATCCATTAAGAGTTAACTTTCATCCCCCAAAGGGGCCATAACTATTGTCAAATTGTTGGAACAAATTCTTTTATAAATTTATTAAAGTGTAATCACATTATTCAAATTGCCTCATAAATTGCCTTTTAATGACAAGATATGTCATATAGGACATTCCATGTGATTAAGTATATTAATAGTGTTAATATATATGACTGAACCATTATTTTTACCAAGCATTTATGGTCAAATACTATGACTGACTCTACTTTTGGTGTTTATAAGGAATGTCATTTTTAGCATCCTACTTGGCACCCTGTATTTGTTTGTCTTTTTTTCATTGTTTTTGAAATAATCCATACATACCTTTTACCATGTACACATTTTATTTATTTATTTATTTATTTATTTATTTTTAAAGATTTTATTTAGTTATTTGACAGACAGAGATCACAAGTAGGCAGAGAGGCAGGCAGAGAGAGAGAGGAAGGGAAGCAGGCTCTCCGCTGAGCAGAGAGCCCGATGCGGGGCTCGATCCCAGGACCCTGAGACCATGACCTGAGCCGAAGGCAGAGGCTCAACCCACTGAGCCACCCAGGCGCCCCCCATGTACACATTTTAAACATGACAGATTAAACTGGCTTCCCTTTGATCATACTGTGTTATGCCATTTTTCTCTCTTCCATTCTGTGCAGTTTTTCCTAATGATTTTGCCCAAATATAATGTGGGGACATTAATTTTTTAAAAAAATTATTCATTTCCATTGCGATGTATTTCTATTAAAAACATATTCCTATATATTATTATACTTTATGTGAAATGAGAATGACTATATTCACTAGCATACTTGGGTTTTGTAAGGACCAAATGAGTTAATTTACACAAATGCTTATAATTGAAACTTTAACATACTCAGTAAAATAATCCATTGTTAAGATTATTTTTTCCTTTGGCTATTTTTTATTTATGGAAAGGTTTTTAACTATGGTGTATATTTGGTTTAATATCAGAAATTTAATATTAGAGAAAAATGCTAAACTACCAGTGAATATAGCAAAGTCATCGTAATTCATTCCTTCTTGGTCATGAAGAAAAAAACATAAAATATAGTGAGTAATACCTTTATTCATATCTAACCTTATGTGTCAAATCCTAACATTTATGTCAGCATGAAACATTATTGAAGTGTTATTGCCCATATTGTCTGGCTGATTAAAAAATAGTACTGGATTATAGGAACATCTGACTCTTGATCCAATGCATGTTTAAACTAACATTTTGCGAAGGATGAAATATGAATAAATTGTGATTTCTTTGAACATAAAGTTTGCTGAGAATCCTACACAGGAAAACCTGTGGGAGGTGACAAAATTACTCATAGAACTTATAACTCTAAATCCAGACATATAAAAAATTAAAAAAAAATCCACTTATGTATTGCAACAATTAATACTTGAAATCTTGTACTGGTGCTACAGGGATAAAGAGGAAGTTTCCATTTATCTGGGAGTCAAACTGCCTTAAGAATGGGGTTTAGTGGGACACCTGGGTGGCTCAGTTGGTTGAGCAGCTGCCTTCGGCTCGGGTCATGATCCCAGAGTCCTGGGATCGAGTCCTGCATCGGGCTTCTTGCTCAGCGGGGAGCCTGCTTCTCCCTCTGCCTCGCCTGCCACTCTATCTGCCTGTGCTCACTCTCGCTCTCTCTCTCTCTCTGACAAATAAATAAATAAAATCTTTAAAAAAAAAAAAGAATGGGGTTTAGCTTGGTTAGTGCTCGTGTCTCCGAGGAGGTATGATACAGGTGGTTCTGAGGAGTTTGGAACACCTGTGAACTAAAATCAACAGCTTCTACTAAGGAGCTATGGCCAATAATAGAACTTATTACTTTTCTGTTGCTGCATAACAAATTGCCATGATTTTGGCAGCTTAAATCAACACATGATTATTATCTCCAAGTTTTAATGGGCACATGTGAGGGCATGGCTTAGTTGGGTCCTCTGCTCAGGGTCTTACAAGGTGGCAATTGAGCTGTCAGCTGAGGGTAGTGTCTCACTGAATGCCCAGGGTCATCCAAGTTCATATGTTTGTTGGCAGAATTAATTTTCTCGAAGCTGTGCAGCGGTGGCTTGCTTCTTCAATGGCAGCAGAAGATATTTTTACTTCTCTCTCCGACCTATAGATGTTTTAAAAGCTACATCTCTCAGATCCTACCCATTCGGGATAATCTCCTTTTTGATTCACTTAAACTGTTTAGGGACCTTGATTATATCTGCCCAAATCCTTCACCTTTGCCATATAACTTAACATAATTATGGAGATGATATACCATCCTTTTTGCCACATTTTATTCATTAGAAGCAATGTATGGAGGTGTTAGGGTTGACGTACAGAGATAAGATACTAACTGCTTCAGTGGCCTTATTGCTTGTTTTTGAGGCAAGAGGAAAGCAACCATCTTTTCATTCGTGAGGGTAGGAACACACCACACAAAACAACAACTTTTGTTACCAGGTCCCTCGGTTCTTGTCCCAGATGCACCAAAGTATTGGGAAACCTGAGACCAGAAGGGAGAGATAGAGTTTATTGAGTGCGTAAGTATAGTACACTCGAGAGAAAGTGGGCTAGCCGGAGTGAGAGTGACAATGATCTCCAGAAGCTCTAGCTGCATCCTTTTAAGCCTGTTTTCTGCAAAGGTAAATTTGGCTTTGATTGACAATTTTCACTGATGGTGGTTATAGAACATTTTGACCTCTGTGCATGTGCCTACCCATGATGCATTCTGTCATAATTGTTTTTACTTATACTTGTATTTATTTACAAATGTATATTTATGAGTTTCTAGTGAGCTTTTGCTGTGACCTTAAGGTTACTTAACCTAAAGTGGCACCTTTTGTGCGCATGCTCAGTTCTTGGACATTCTTTTGTGGCTTTTGAGCCAGCTCTGTGGCTAGGCCACTTGGAGGTGGCTCTGAA